CTCTATCTTTCAAGTTGTCTTTCAATGTTTTCACTGACATATCAGTTATATAAAGAGAATAATTCTTTACCAATGATAAAGATAAATAATTGCATATTATAAATTTTAGGGGACTAAAGTATAAAAAGGTGGCCCCAGAATTGAATAGTTGCTTTATTTTATATTTTATTTTATTTTATTTTTTGGTACCGGGGATCGAACTCGGGTCCTTGCGCTTGCACAGGAGACAGTGAAACCACTGAGGTAAATCCCTGGCCCAATAGTCGCTTTATTAAGCAAAAAACAATTAGTAAAATAAAAATAAAATCCCATTTAGGCAACATACATAGATTTTGGAAGTAGTGCTATATATAACTGCATAATTCATCCAAACTTTTAATATTAAGATTTCCAAACCAAGGCCAAAAATAGTTATCCTATAGTTGCTTCCCCCCTGCAATTATACCATATTGCATTTATCTTAAATTCTTTTTTGAAGGCTATTTTTATTATGTATTTTTATTAGTACATATTTGTAGTACATAATGATTACATTTATCATGGGAAGTTTATGGCAGAACTTATAGATATTCCCAGTGGGAACCTCCAAATTCTTAATTCAGTTACATATTTTTGGCTTCTTTCCAGACTTATGTGAACAGCAACTGATCCAAGGAACAAACAGGCGGAAAAGTCTTTGAATGGCATTCTTTTACCATCAAGTCATACATACCTAGATTCAGTAAAATAGGCAACTGAATTCCTGAACTGGGCAGTTCAATAATACATTTTTAAAACTCAGGTGGTATTAAAGAGAATTATTTTCTATTCAAACAAGAAAAGAAAGAGGAACTATGAACTTAACAGGGTCTTAAAAACACACACAGGATGGAAAAAAAATTCCTGCAAACTATTGAAGAAAATTAGTAACACAGATTTTATCATCTATTTCCTCCTCCTCAAAGGGATGTTTTGTTATTCACTTAGACTGAAGAGTTTGCTTTCAACCAAATTAAGGGTTCAGATGTAAAGAATAAAAAAGGAAATATATATATATAGATAGATAGAGATAGATATAGAGATATATCTAACACAATAGTAAACCAACCAATTTGCATAGCTCATTTTATAATGAGGAAGAAAAAAGAACATAATGTACAGCTCCAGATGGCACAGCTCCAGAATCCTCATTCAATTCATCTACTAGACATGCAAACCTTAGCCACATAACTCAATTATGACAGTCTGCAGACCACTGGAAATTTTTGCAACACTGCCCCTCATGTAGTGTCTTCAGTCATGTCTCCACTCAGGTCAAAATGATCACTAGGTTTGCCTTTTTGAAGCTTTTGCCTCTGGACTCAACTTCAGTTTTACAAAATGGAAAATGAGCAGGCACATCCAGGTAAAATTCTGGGTGTAGATGTAGATCAGATTTTGCAAACCATTAAGTAAAGAATAGCCTTTCCTATTTGTGATCCACTTTCTAAAAATCTTTCCAAAGTAAGGGTCAGTCTGGCTTCCAGTGCACTAGGTTATCTCAAGTCCTTTGTGCAACTGTCCTATCACAAGGTCAATGCAGACCTACCTCAGAAACCAGGTGGAGATTAATGAAGCGTAAACTGGAAGAAAAAAATGCACTGGACAAGTCAGGCTTTATCTATGCAACTAAGTAGATCCACAGGTTTTAATAACTATTCAGATTATTTGGTAGCAACCTCACTAAATAATTAATTTGCATGATACATTTCAGCTATGAAGACATTTATAAAAATCAAAGAACCCAGAGTTTCAGATGGTAAAAGAAAAAAACGATCTGGCTCCACTCTGGCCTTGCTCATCGTACTGGCCACCATTTGTTCCAAAAAATTCTTAAAGAACAAACATCAGTGAGCATATGTGAGTAAGAGAATTTCAAGGCAAGATAAGGTGTTATTTTCTAGGTCCTGAGCTCTTCTCTAGACCTTCCTTTCTCTTGTAGTTAGTGAATGGATTTCAACTTGCTGTCTTGCTGAGGCATGAATGGCTATCTGGCACTCTTGTGAATCAAAAGAGTGCTTACTTTTGTTTTTTATTATCCAATTATGACTGATTATGTATTGTCTGAGGAAATGCCAATAACTTTAGAGCTCACATAGATGGCATTAATAATATGAGGTGGGTATCAGTCTTTGCTGCTTTCATATGCAGATCCAAGTGGGTTCCAAAATACTGTATATTTGCTTGGTTCCAAAGGGCTAAGGGAAGGAAGAATACAGAAACACTAAATAGTAATGAACTTTATTCATTTTAATTATCTTGTTATTAAAGAAAAATACCAAGAGTCCTATCTTTCAGAGCCTTTTAAGTGATCCTGAAATAGTTTGATCTGTAATATCACATAGCATGGTGCTTAGGGATATAAACTCTGAGGCTAAACAACCAAATCTGAGCCTCATTTCTTCCCACTTGTGGCTTGGTTGACTCTGCTTCAGTTACTTAAAGTGTATGTGTCTCCATTTCCTTGTGTTTTAAATGGTGACATGTATGCTACTAGCACATAAAGTTATTATGAAGAATAATAAGTTGGGTCATCAGGCACATTTAAAGCACTGAAAAGTTATGGTAGGTAATCATTCAATTAGTGTTAGCTGTTATTATTTATTAGTTTAAATGTCTACAATTTTAACTCAAATCACTTCATTCAATTAGTGTTAGCTGTTATTATTTATTAGTTTAAATGTCTACAATTTTAACTTGTATCACTTCATATCTAAGAAAGTTTCATCTCTTTTGAAAATGTTCCCAAAACACTTTAGAAACTACTGAATACAGAGCAAGTAATCCTCAGAGTCTTTGGGCTCACTGCCCTGACTGACCCATGACACTTTCTCCTGTAAGCATTCTGGTGTAGCAAAGTGAATCTCAGATACTGAGTAGATTTGTGAAGTAAAATAAACAACACATTGCCACAGATTTTCTCTTTATGAAGATATGCAATACCAAGACTCAAAACTCAGTACTAGTAAAAAACAATGAACACTTATTTAGCTTACATGTTGGCCGGAGGTCAGCTGAATGGAACGAAGTGGCTCTGCGGACCTCAGCTATGCTTTTCATCCGTTGTGGGTGAGCTGGAGGTCGGCTGATGTAGGCTCCAATCTCCTTCTCAGGCAGCAGCCAGGCTGTGTTCTCTCCATGGTGGCTGAAGACACAGAGAGCAGGCAGAAACTCAGGAGGTGTCCTGAGGCCTGACTCTGTGGCACAGTGTCACCTCTGACTCACTCTGTTGGCCAAAGCTGGTCATGTGATCAACAACGAAGGCAAGAGGTAAAGATGTTCCTCCGTGGAAGGAAAGAGAGGAGAGGAACAGAGTATTTCTGAAAAAGAATGCATCTCTTCACTGTGTTCATATCCTTTGTTCTACTGTGCTCAAATATAATAGCTTTTACATAGTACTTAGCCACTAGGACTGCTAGGAAACCTGCTAAACATGAGGGGAACAAGGAAAATTCCACTTGAGATATTGGGCATTACAATTTTTTAAAAATTATACAATAATAAATCTGGATTTCAGGGCCGGGGATTTAGCTCAGTGGTTCTGGCGCCTGCCTCCCAAGTGCAAGGATCCGAGTTCAATCCCCGGTACCAATCAATCAATCAATCAATCTGGATTTCAAATTCTATCTTTCTAAAATACAAAGCAATGCACTGTTGTATTTGAGATTTATTCAATTTTGAGTTTTAAAACTATGTACCTATGCTCTAAATATAAATGAAAATGCCATTAGATTTTAAAATATCAATTTTTTAGCTATTTATCAATTACTTATATACTGTTTGGTAAAGAGAGTATATTTAGAACGCTTAATAATTTATTTTTCATCTTAAAAAGATGCATAATTTTCACAATTTTGAAACTAAGATGTACCAAGGACATATACAAAGAGTACAATGTCAAACACCACCTTCATAGCCCTTTCTAGTTTATTCATTTAAAGCCATGCTAATGAATCCTAAATCACTTACATTTTTTATTTTATTTCCAAATTGAACTTTTAAAATAACTTCAGTATTTCTTCTTCCAAATGGTTTTCTTAATGTTTTAATTAAAATGTTATGATTTCTGCTCTACAAATCCACAATTAGTTTCAACAGCGAAACAGCCACATTTACAGATTTTTGTTTATTGTTTGAAGTTTTTATTAGTACATGTTTGCAGTGCATAATGATTACATTCTTCATCAGGAAGCAGTACAGGTACACAGCACACCTCCATTCCTTTTTCGTCTCCTCCCCTCCCTTTCCTTGCCCCCTTCTGTCTCTCGGTCTCCCTCTCCTTTGAAAGGATTCATCTCACAATTTCCTATTATCTTTTATTTATATTCTATTATCTTTCATTCATATTTATATTCCTAGCATCTCTTTACTTATTCTTTGGGCTTTATATAACAGAAACCATGCAACATTTAAGCTTGTGTGTCTGATTTATTTCAATTAACATTATGGTCTCAAGGTGCATTTATTTCACTACAAATGACTCGAGTTTATCCTTCCTTATGGTAGTGTAGTACTACATTGTATAGAAAGACCATATTTTCTCTAATATAAGAAAATGTTCTGTAATTTGACTTTCATATAAATTGCTGCATTTATACGTGTGAAATAAAATTTGACAGTTTTAATAAAATTACCATAAAATAATTTTCCTATGAAATCAATGCAAAATGATTAAAATGACTGTGGTAACAAAGGACCCTGTAAGATATAAGGGTCTGACTTTTATCTGTAGATGAGTATACTTGCAATGCCATCTCTTAAGCTGAGCACTTTAACAGGAAAAACTACTACTTCTTACCAATATAAGTAATTGATCGCACTGCTCAGTGTTGAATTCCTAAAAAGATAAACTTTAAACTGCATTTAACTAAGTAGCATGAATTTAGAAGTAAAAGTCTTTCTAAAAACTTCCCATAAGCAGAAGCAATTTCATCAACATTGAGATATAGATATTATTCTTTCTCCAGGGACTTTAAAGAAAATACAGTGACAATGAACAGTTTTTATTAAAGTCATTAAATTTGCAAAGCAGTGATTAAAAGTGTAAGTGTAAGGTTACTGCTGGATCTCTTACAAACAATAAAATAATCTATCTTTATCTCTTGGCCAATGAACTTCTCCATTTCCTTAACCTCTGCCCATAGTTTTTGCATGTTGGACAGGTGGCTAGAAAGTCAGCAGCTTTGGGATTTTCATTGGTCACTGGACTCATTCCCCTTTCCTCTTGGTCCATTCCTCCGTGTTTTCTTCTAGCTTCTGGTTTCCATTTCACAGCTTCTCTTTTGGATGCCTTGGCTAGAAGTCATTGTTATACAGGGATAAAGTCTTCCTGAGGTTAAGCCCTGCCTCTTGCTACAATACAGCCCCATGACCTTGGGCAAGGTTAAATACAACCCCAGAGTCCTAGGTTCCTCATCTAAACAGTGAAGACTGTGAGGGTCTTTTTCCTCCTCCTCCTTCTCCTCCTCTTTGGCTTCATTTTCTTCTTCCTCTTGTTTTCAATTAACTGTGCCAGGATGAATTCCTGTCCACTATAATACACCCTTATTAACCTGAAATCTATGCTGACCCAGCTAACATCTCAAAGATGAAGGACAGTGACTTTGTTCTGCTGAGTTTCCTGCCTTCTTCCTAAGCCACTTACCCTCTCTTTAAGACCTTAGTAACATTTCCCCTTCCGCTTTTGTGAGCACTTTCAAAGTCTTACAACATTTTTGCCTAAAGACTTCAACAAGCACAGTGTGTGGAATTTGCCCGAATGCCTTCTACCAAGCAGCTGCCCACCTCAACAGAGAGGCAGACATTCTAAGCAAAATCTACATATTGCCCACATCCTTTCAACCTCAAGAATTTGACTTAACTGATTTATGTTTCCTAACATCCCTAGAGAGAGAAACAGTGGTGGAGCAAGGAAGTTAGATCCAAGCCTATCTTCAAAGAACCCATCTCACTTAGGAGAATGAATTGCAACCATTATTCCATACCCATTATATGCTACATTTTTCTTAAATGTAAAATATAAACTCTATTATACTGGTACTTGAGAAATATAGAGAAAAATCATCTAACATGTTAAAGAATTATTCTACAGATAGATATTATATTGCCCATCTTTAAATGAAAACAATTGATGCAACTTTTACAAATTCCACAAACAGGCTAAGCCCTTGAGTGATGTAATCTAATCTATTTTATAAAATAAATGTACTTACAGAATAAGGTCATCTTTAATGACTAAATACAAGTAATATTTAAATGTAAGGTAAATATTCATATTTAAAATGCATGTGTCAATGGAAATTGGAAAAGAAAAAGAACTGGATTTGATAAGGGAGCGGTATCTACAACAGGAGTTGTTTAACTATGGATTTCAGGCCTCAAAGAAGACCGTAAGCAGGACCTGACCAAATAACTAAATCCTTATGAAGCTCTCTAGGGTTCTTTTAAACTTATTTAGAAAAATTAGACTCTTTAAAACAATGTAAGTCAAAATTACGTTTCATAAACCAAAGGAAGCATAAAATTTAAAAATAATAGAAAAGCACAAGATTACATCTCCTTTAGGGATCTAGGGAAGTAAGAGGCAAATGGTAAGAATATCTGAAGCAGTTCCATTTTCTGTTACCTATTTTACTTTTAAGAAATGGAGAATTCCAGTACAAGAGAAAAACAATTTTAGAACCTTATCCATTAGCTTATTATAATATGATTTATTAGAGTTAAGATAATCGCTGATGTTTTCTAAATTTTCATTCCTTGAAGGAATAGCTCACCATTATTATCTCAATTTGACTTTTCAGCTTTGTGAAAAGATTCTTTATGTGAAGGCCGTTATTGTCCACTTCCTTACTCTTCTCATTCAGGCAATTTATTTGACATAGCCAATTTAACAGACACAAACATTGATCTACTCTTATTATCTAAGCATCACATCGTATAATTATAAGATATAGAAAACAACTTTAACATTTTCCCACATATAAGAGGGAGTGGGGTGGGGAAGGAAATGCAATAGAGACTTAGGCAAATGTTTTCAGAAGCCCAGAAGGTGATTTTCTGTCTGTGTTCTTCATGCTACCAGCAGCTGGCCAAGGAGTGCAGAATTTCTTTCTTTAATTAAGGCAGCAATGATGACGGCCCCTTGCCTTAAGCTCTCCTGTAGCTTTTGTTCATCCTGAAAATAAAAGGCAAAACAATGATTTTTTCAGAAAGAAAACATGTCACACATTAAATTTGATAAGGAGCAGTATCTGCTGCTCTCTGGACTTGACATTTCATGAGCTCAGATCTTAATCACCTGCAGGGACTGAGTCCCCTATATAAAGGGAAAGCACTTCTGTAAGCACTTTTCATTACAGACAAAATGGGGAAAAAATCTGCTAAAAATACAAAGAAAGACACTGACACAGTTTCAAATGCTAATCAAAAGACACAAGAGATTATTTTCCCTTAATCCAATTCTGACCAATTTGGCTCTCCACTGAAGTGTGAATATTTCCTCAGTGATGCAAGCATTTCTCCTCTTGTTTCTGAGTGTTCTCCAACTTTGTTATGAACTATTTCTGAGTACTTGTGTGGGGAAAGACTTGCATATGAAATAAAGATAAAGCAAATTCATCAAATGAGTTATTTTACAAGTTGCTAGGATGTGGTTTTGCCTTTGAAATCAAATTGCTTGTGAAAATTAGCTATTTTTTTTAACTATTTAGGATTCTTGAAGGTATGAAGATATTATAATGTGAAGAGAAAGTGGAAACAAAGCTACCAACTTCAAGATCTCCAGGTTATGATACATGGTACATTTAAAAAGATGTTGCCAGCCATCTCTGAACTTTCTTATTGTCTTTAATGCCTTTCCTCTACCCTGGAGATCTGCATCAACTTCCTTATCATTTACTCTATCCTTATACATTAGGATAAGTCATTATGATGCCAGCATAACATCTTCGTCCTCAATGACTGGAATGATCTCATAAACAGTCTCCCTAAAGTCTTTCCTTCTCCATTTCATGGACCAGTCCAATACTTACTCTGAAAGGTAGATTAGATTACATCACTATCCTGCCTTTAAAGGGTACCTTTGAACCTCAGGAGGGAGTCTGACTCCCTTTATGTAGTAATAAAAAGCTGTTTATCTTCCCAGCCCCCTGACATTCCCTTAAAATCACCCCATCCTCCAAGCCACAGAGAACTACTTAAGACTGCCCACACAAGCTGTTTTTCTGAGCTCAGACCTTTCTATTCCTTGTGATTCCTTCGCCAGAACAGCTTTCCCACACCCTCCCAGCTTCCCTGACCCCAATTACTCTTTGTGTCTCAACCCAGGTATCCATGACTCTTGAAATCTACCCTGATTCCTATCTGCTAGCCCAGTTTGGATGCAGTGACTCTGTTTGCTCAGCTGTGAATTCCTCTAGCATGCTGCACTTTCAGTGGTCTTTTCTGTTGACCATCTATGCCACCAGATGACAATTTTCATGATGTAAAGCATTTTTCATTTTCTCTCTGAATATGGAATACTTAGCCTGATGCCTAACGCATTGTGGCACTCCATAAATTATAAGGAATTCAAAGCAAGGGACGCTTTGACTGTGATAGAGATATCATCACCCTTTCAGTTTCACTCATCTGTTGACATTGGCTGTTATTTGGTTACTTTGTGTACTCCTATTTGAATATTTAGCCTGAGGCCTGGCAATAGTACAGAGAAAAACATCTTTGAAGTTTTACTGCCACCAAGTTGCCTCCATCAGGAGGGCCCTGGGCTCCTCCTCATGGGAACAATGGCCTATGCTGCTCTTTTCTACCAATTTCCCTGAAATTCTAAGGTGTGGAACTAGGGAAGAAATGGTGGCTACTTTGTTCCTTACAAGTGCATTTTACATGACATTTCGATAGTGCACTTCAATTGTTTTTTTCTGATTTCCAGAATATCGTAAGATTGATTATATTATATATAAACAAATCATTCTTAGCCAAGAATGTTTAAACTTAAAATATGATCTACTTATACGGGACAGGATTATCACCCATGTCACATCATTGATTTGTAAGCACAGAAGTATTCTAAAACTGAAAACAATACAAAGCAACTATTAGTATGCATTTTCATGCTTAATGATCAACTAATTACAATGGTGCAAAATCTATAATACATGTCTACCCTCTCATTTATTAAATTTAAAATAACACAGATGATAATAATTAAGGCTTCCTCTTAAAAACAAACAGAAAAGGTCTATCTCTGCAGCCCTTTCGAAACCAGTTTATGCATTTAAGATGAAAGTGGCACAATGACAATATGGAGATTTCAAAACTGGTGAAAGAACATGGTGAGGCATATATATATATATATATATATATATATATATATATATATATATATTTGGAAAACTCATGTATAAAGATCGGATAAATAATTTATAAATTTTGAACTCATCTCAAAAACCCATATCTCTAAAAGAGTACTAATAACACAGGAAAATGCCAACTCAAATATTTATTTTGAAAAATTTCCTTGATGATTAGTGATTTTAAGCATTTTTTCACACACTTATTAAATGCAACCACATCTAAATATCACTTCACTTTAGTTGCATGGCTATTATCAAAAAGACAAAAGAAAACAAATATGGCCAAGGATGTGGAGAAAAAGGAATCCTCGCATATTGTTTTATGAATGTAATTAGTGTAGCCACTATGGAAAACAGTCTGGGGATTTCTTAAAATACTAAAAATAGAACTGCCACAGGATTCAGTAATCCCCGTAGTGGTTATACATCCAAAGAAAATAAAATTCCTATCTTGAACAGACATGTGCTTTGTTCTTGTTCATTGCAGCATTATTCACAAGAAGTGGAATCAACTTAACAGTGCGTCAATGGGTGGAGGGAACAGAAACTGTGGTATATACACATAATGGAATACTATTTGGCCATAACAATGAATGAAATCCTGTCATTTGCAACAACATGGTTGAACATGGAGAACATTATGTTAAGTGCAATTTGCAAGTGAAGGCCAAACTGAACTAGGTCTTCCCAATGAAAGCTTAAAAACTTCTACAAGATCAAGTTCATCCCCTGTAATAAAACTGCTTCCCAAATTTTTTGTGTTCTTTGGAGGAAGCTAAAGTATGCCTTTCTTTATAATGTTTTGCAATTAAAGTGTGGCATGCAATAAAGTATTATAAGACAAGCAAAGAAATAGTAAAAAAGTAGTGACTAACCAAGAAGAAAACAAAAATCAATTCAAGCAGATCCAGAAATGATATACATATTGGGATCGGCATGCAAGGATTTCAAAATAATTGATTAACATACTGAAAAACAGGAAAGGTTAAAATATTGATTAAAGTAGAAAATGGAAATTCAAGAATTTGAATTCTAGAATTAGAACCTATAATAAAGACTATCTTATAGTGATAAAATATCATGCTTGAAGATATGATTGGACTGGTATAATGTGACATAGGCAGTACAGTAGAGACAATATGAATAATCCTAAAGGTAAGTTTTTCTTTTCTTTTTTTTTTTTCTTGGTGTTGGGATTGAACTCAGAACTTTGAGCTTGCCAGCCAGGTGTGGTGTCACAGAGCTACATCCCCAGCCCCTCTAAAGGTCAGTTTTTAAAAGGAAAATCTGAGCTGAAGCACACAAAGATGAAAACACAGGGACTTTGTAGTATGATCATTTCAATGTTGTAGAGTTTTACACAATGGTAATTATCCCAGTGTCCTATTCCTTCCTTACCTATGGCCACTGCCCTCACCACTAAGAAACCATTTGTAACACATTTTGTAACATTTGGGTTGTCCCAGCAGCCAAACCACCTGGGAACATTTACTTCATGAAACAAGTAAGAATAAAAAAGTCAATTCCATTCCTAGACAAGTACTGCTATGTAATGTATAAAAGTGTGTACAAACTATACTGAAGGTAATATTGCTGTCACTGAGCGTTTAGGAAGAGGGAACTCAGAGCATGGTGAGATCAGAAGGCAACTGTAGAGTTCAGAGTGGACAAGAAATACTTTGGAAACCAGAGATGATGACTGATTCCTACAGTGGCACATCTATGTCATAAGTTAGAGCATAGCAATTTATTAGAAAAAAGGTGGGTACCCAAATTCCTATGTTAAAAAGTAAAGAAAAGCTACTCAAGATAAATATATCAGCATTTTCTCTCTATATCTCTGACAACATTAATCTCCAGGGTTCAAGTTTACCTCAAATTCAGTTCATCAGCCATAAAGAGCATGAACTATAAACACTGTTTCATCTATGTTTACATGTCCACACATAAAAATCATAAGCATACATTTGTTGAATTTAACAGAAGACTATTTTACTGTATAAAATGTTGTAAGATGTGTTAAAAGTTTGACCTATCTTCTTAAATTTGTCTTGGCTAATGTTACTTGTTTTATTGTCTTGTTCACTTCATAATCATGTCAGAATTCATGAATTTAAAAAATTTTTTAATTCCATCCTCTCATAAAATGATAAAAATTAAATGTCTAGATGAAAACATAGCATTCATTCTTTTTCATTAATACTGTATTATAACCAAAAATATAAACCATCTAAAAAGGAAAAATATATACTCTGCTACAGTCAGTGTTCTGAAAATATTGGGAGGAAAAATATTAAACGTTAATACTTGTTTTTAGATGTTGGATTTATGACAGCATTTCTTCCTTGTACTTTGTTATATTCTCAAAGCTTCCATAATGAACTTACTGTACACTTCATACACAAAAACAGTATTTTAAATTTAGCTACAAAGCCCATTAAGGAAATTAAATTTGATTTTTTTTATTATTAATTTTATTGGTACATTTTAGGTATACAATATAATGACATTCATCATTGGAAATTTGCACCTTTACATAATCTATCTTGGTTCTTATTTTTCACCCTTCCCCTGCTCTCCCTTCAACCCCTTCATCCCTCCCTATTTACAAAGACTTTGTTTCCATTTTTTCATTTTCTCATATTAATTCCATTCCCTTTCCTTTCCCCTACCCCTCCCAATTTCCCTTCCCCTTTGCCCCTTTTCTTACTATTTCACATTATCTATTTTACCTTTTAGTCCTTATTTACACTTTCAGTTTCTCACACCAGCAAAACTATTTGGTATTTACACGTGTGTTCTATTTATTTCCCTTAAGAGT